AACAATTCACATTTCTAGTATCTAAATAGCACCAGAGATAACACTTTTAGATTTCGATCTTTATTGTTAGTAAATCGTCAACGAGCAATCAGTAAGAACATTGATTGGTTGATCTTATTGTAGTGAAAATATTAATCTATCATATTTTTAAAAGTGAAATAAATTCGAAAATCGTAACTTTCAAAAAAGATCAATGGACAGTAGGAAAGGGACATTTATTTACTGCTGTATGACTTTATCTAAACTCTTTCTGGAGGAGAAAAATCAATTCAGATTGACATAACCGAACGCGCATTCTTTACAATAAATTTCGGAGAAAGGACAATTAAATGCATTACACAATAAGCCTTAGGCAGAGCAAAAAGAAAATAACATTTTAATACCAATTTTATCACTCGACTTCCAAATTTAACCATTTCAAAACACATCCATTTTATTTCAATTAAAAATTCAACTCTATTTAGACTACAGATTCATAATTCCCTACGATATAATTACTCTCAGTAAGATCTATCTAATAGTCATCGTTTTTATTTTAGTTTATCACAGTATATTTTCATAGAATTCTTATTTTCACAATGTAAGTTTCAGACACTCTGACTCTTTACCATAGAAGCATATTCTTAGAATAATTATTTGAACAACTATACAAGCACGCAGCATCAATATTACATGCTTTTTTTCTATCACGTCTTTCGGTGAAAGTAATGAGGTTGTGGCATACCACCTCTTTTTATGATGGTAAAAACTCTTATAATTATTAGAAAACGGATTGTAAAAAGCGGTTGATATAATAAGATAACGATTATTCATTATAAGCCTGTCACCAATGTGTTTTATGACAATTTTAAACCAGGCCAATAATTACTCAATTTTTTGCTTCATTTTATTATCCAAGAAACTGTTCATCAGCATGTCGATTTCTTAAAAAACGAGTCGCATCCCAACAAAAATGATAATCAAATAAGATGAACTTATATTTTCTATTATTAAAAGAAAAGAAACACATTCCAAGCCAACAGGATGAAAGTGGTTCATATAAATACAAGTCAATACATTGTGGTTAATATATTTAAAAAAAGGGTAATACATTGTGGTTGATATATTTAAATAAGGTAATACATTGTGAGTAAAATATTAAGAAAAGGTAACACATTGTGGGTAATATATTTAAAAAAAGGTAATACATTGTGGGTAATATATTTAAAAAAGGGTAATACATTGTGGGTAATATATTTAAAGAAAAAAGGTAATACATTGTGGTTAACATATTTAAAATAAGGTAATACATTGTGGGTAATATATTTAAAAAAAGGTAATACATTGTGGTTAATGTATTTAAAAAAAGGTAATACATTGTGGGTAATATATTTAAAATAAGGAATACATTGTGGTGAATATATTTAAAAAAAAAGGTGATACATTGTGGTTAATATATTTAAAAAAAGGTAATACATTGTGGGTAATATATTTAAAAAAAGGTAATACATTGTGGTTAATATATTTAAAAAAAGGTAATACATTGTGGTTAATATATTTAAAAAAAGGTAATACATTGTGGGTAATATATTTAAAAAAAGGTAATACATTGTGGTTAATATATTTAAAAAAGGTAATACATTGTGGGTAATATATTTAAAAAAGGTAATACATTGTGGCTAATGTATTTAAAAATAAGGTATTACATTCCTGTTTATACCAAAAGAGAAAAATACATCGTGGTTCGTGCGAAAAAAGGTAATACATTGTGGTTAATATATATAAAAAAGGGTAATACATTCTGGTTCATACAAAAAAATAAGATCATACCAAAAAAGGTAATACATTGTGGTTTATATCAAAAAAGTAATAAATTGTGGTTCATACCAAAAAAGGTAATACATTGTGGTTTATACCAAAAAGGTAAAACACAGTGGTTCAGACCAAAAAACTGTAATAGGCCCACGATCGAGCAAATTGTGGAACAATATGGCTTGAGAATCTTCGTCCACTCAAAATGTTGGGACGGGATTATTGTTTCTAGAGATGCGAAGGATTCTTCTCAAAATGTCATCGTGCAGCGATATTTTGGGGATAATGACGCAACACATTACTATTAGAAATATTAAAATATGTAATAATATACAATTATAAGTTTAAGCCCTTAAAAGCTGTTTACTGGTGAGTAACCTTTACAATAAAATTAGACTCGATGTCAAATGTACTATTAAGACGTTTGCAACAAGTGACTCTCACCGGAGGCTGTTAGTAGACGTTTCATGAACTATTATTCATAAATATAATATACTGCGTGTGAATTGATTTATATTCAATTTTAAGTGATATTTCTAAATAATTTATGGACTATTTTTACAGCAATTGCATAAAACTGCATATTTATCGCTTCTAATTGCATGTTTATAGGTCGATTTCTACTGAATCACTGTCAAAATTGTCAAAGACAATTGCACTTTGGGTGTCACAATTTGGCCGATTCTCTATGATAGGTATAATATGGTTTATAAGCAATATTTATGGCGAACAACAAAGGTCTCTTCCGATACAACCGTGTCCTTTTCGCATTTGAAACAGAGGCGATTTTGGACGATAAATGGGTCAGGGCGTCCAATTGAAAAATAATCCTTGGAGAAATACGGACTTTCAAACAACCTTGAAGCTTGTTTGTAATACTTAAATACTAGATCATTATGCAACCTGGTGAAATGGGAATATGCTATCCTAAACAGTTTGTATTATAAACATATTAAGCTGAATAAGCAGAACATACCTCAGAATGGTCTAATAATATACTATTCAATGTATACAAATAATCAATAAGTGATTGACACAAATATATCAAATTGAGATATGGGATACGTACAAGATACTTTAAATGTTTTAAAAATTGTTTATTGCACCAGACTTACTTGTTCAAATCTTCTCAAACCAAGCCAACATTGATAACATGCGTTTGTTAAAATTACTTTAAATTTAAAGCTAATTTGGTTGTAATTTCCGAGATGTGGCATTTTCTAGCTGTAAATTATAAGAGCAATTAAGACGTGGATTATTTACATTCAATTTCAATTTTTAAACAATTTATAACTGGGTTTCGCTTCAACTAGTAATTACAAACCATCAAGTTTGTTTCAATTTTTATCAATGTCTCAATGCGGTAAGACGAAAATTGAATTGCAGTTGGTAAACACAATTAAATTTGTTGAAACCACTCAAGAACTGCATGGAATAAACGATTTCTTTTTATACCGTTGCAATGAATATCATATTTCAGATCATTTTCTTAACTGTAATTCTTAGAATTTCACTAAAACCAATAATCATGTTAACAAAGTTTAAAACTTAACTTGTATCTTGAATGTCCAGTATGAATATAGCTATATCCTTGGTTGTAATATCATAAATACATTTAACTACATGATGCATATGTTAGAAATCTTCGGAAACCACGACTGTCTAGACTAGTGATCATGTT